CAGCTCCCCCCGCGGCCCGCCGGCCCGAAACACGCCACAGGCAGCGCGGACCCGCCGCCGCGGGCAGCCCGGGAGAGGTGGGGGACCTCAGGCGTCCACCCCGAGAACTCCCCCCCGCTGGGCCCCAGGGCCGGGCCCTCCCCGTACCTGTCCATGGTCTGCGGCAGGGCCAAGCCCGTCTGCTCGGACATGGCTCCCGGGAGGAGGAGCGGGCCTAGCCGAGGGCCCGGAGCCTGACAAAGCCGGCCCTGGCGCCGACGAACCCGCGCGTCACGCGTGTGGCGGCGGAGGAAGGGAAGAGAGAGGAAAGGCGGCGAAACCGCCCTCCCGCGAGGCAGCCGGGGCAGCCCCTCCTTCGGCAGGCGGGGACGAAGCGGAGGGACGGAGCCGCACGCAGAAGCTGCGCGGCCCAGGCCGCCGGGCTGAGAGGCGGCGGCGGCAGCGACGCCTCTGTGAGGTCAGCGCCAAGCGCAGCCGCGACGCCACCGCCCACTCACGGCAGCGCGCCCGCGCCAGGGAACGGGCGGCGGCCCCGCGCCATGCTGGGAAGTGTAGTCCCGCCGCCGTCGGGAGTTTAAAGGTCCGCCGGGGCGCGCCCCCCACCACCCTCTCCCCCTTCTTGCGGTGCCGCTCCCCCTCCCCTCCCCATGCCTCTCCTCGCCGCCGTCGCGTAGTCGCTGGCCGGCACCGCGCGCGGGGCAGGTAGGGGAACGCGGTGGCGTTCGGGGGTTAGGCGGGGGGAAGGTCAGCCGCGGGCCCAGCCCCGCGCCCTCCGCAGCAGCTGCCACCCCCTCCCGCCGCGCTGCCCTGAGGGCCCGAAGCGGCGGGGGGAGCGGGAAGGGCCCTCGTGCCACCGCCCTCCTCCTCGCGCAGCGGCCGTTGTCCTCCGCGGCGGGTGAGGGGAGCGGCGCAGCCCCGCTCCCGCCGGCCGCCCCCTGTCACGGGCGGAGGGAGGCAAGGAGGGGAGAGAGGCCGGGCCGCCTGCTCTGCCTCCTCCCCGCTCACGCAGGGCGTGGGGGGCCCGCTCGGGGCAGGGGCACCCTTCCTGCGCACCCCCGCCATTCCCTCGCCTGCCGAACAGGTGCGGGCGGCCCCCGCCCCCTGCTCGGCCGGCCGACCTCCCCGGGACCCGCCCTCGGGGCGGGGAGGCCCGAGGGAAGAGGAGACCTTGCCAGGTGCCTGTCCCGGCTTACGCTTCCGAGGAGGGCGGTGGCTGGCACGGCGGAAGATAAATTAATCCGTTTCTGTGGGCTTGTTGGCAATGACAAGGACGAGCGCCCGGCGCCCTTGTAAGTGGCCTGTCGTGCGCGATGGAGGCCTGGTGGCCACGAGCTTCTGTGCACAAGCGGGGTGAGGCGTGGGACGGCTGGTGGTAATGACAACGCTCTCCTTTCAGTTTGTAGGCGTGCCTCCTAATGGGAAAAAAAAAATCTTCCTGAAGTGCTTTTAAAATTTGTTATATGTTCTGAAGTCAATACAGAGTATTGCAGTCTGTGAAACTGGAAATTTAGAAGCTGAAAAGGCTCTATAGAACAAAGAGGAGGATAGCACCGGGAGAGAAGTTGTCTTCCCATTTATCTCCACCGTGGGTGTCTGTCTTCCGCACTTACTTCTCAGTCCAAGTGTATGCGTATTTGCATGCATGTAAAGGTTCTGCATAATGCCATGTTCCCCGAGCAAAGGGCAAGATCCTACTTTTCGGAGGCAATTGTGACATTCCAGATTCTTGGGAAGGTTGGTTAGTAAAGATCAACTTTGAATTTCCCTTTTCAGGTTATATATAAATATATATGTATGTATATTTTTAATAAATAGCTCCTGTAATAAGTTTCATTACATGTAACCAGTCCCTGATACCTTGTGTAAATTACAACTTTGTTATACTGCAGTTGCTGTACAAAGTAGTAATTTACAGGGCCAACCCCACAATTGTACAGCTGCGTCAATCTACAGCTGTTCTTGGCTGAGGCAAGTAGCATTTGCGTGGTGGATATACGTGACTATAGACATCAGGTAGAATAGGAAGGAGACTTTAGTGAATATACTGGATTCTCTGACTGTGCTGCCTTAGCTAGGGAAAGATCAGTCTGGTTTTTAGAGTCTTTGAGAGAAAAGTGTTGTAAAAATGTGTGTAAAGTATCTGGACTTGGACTTGTAAACTGTATTATATGTATAGAGTAGGGAGGGTGTTGTTTATTTTCTAATTGCTACAAATATCATAAACAGGAATGCTGAAGTAGTTACAGTGATGTAAATATTCTTTACAGGAACTATGTATAGAAGCAGGTAGGAAGAAGGCATCCCACTGACATCCTGTCCCAGAAAATTTATTTTGTACTTATTCTTGGGACAGTAAAATTCAGTTTTGCTTGCACTGCTGAGAAATCTTGGATGTACAGTGGCCTAATAAACCGTATGGGCATGGCTTCCTGGAATAGAACCTAATACACGCTGTCCCAATTACAGCTGTTCATGAAACATAAGAGCAATATTAGATATCAGAGTTTCTGGTTCCTAATCTTGGTCTGGAATAAGTGCCTTGTCTATTGGCCAGAACACTGATACACTAGTCTAGCCAAATGCTTAGGTTTTATGTATTTATTCTCAAATGTTACAAATGGAAATAGGGAAGATGGTTTTATTCCTAGGATTATGTGATTTGTGCAATTTCAGTATTTTTGCTTTGGAGTGGGAAGGATATGCTAGTTGCCTGCCATTTAGGATAAAGCTATGAGGCCATGATGAGTAATAATGGTTGTGAGCAATACTTACCTGAAGAAATGTAACCGGAACCTAGGGTCACTTGGCTACCATTTGGGGCTTAAGAACAGTCTGTGACAAGGGGCAGCTGCTTTGCTCTACCACTGGCGCAGGGAGGGATGACAAGACTGGACAGAATATCAGGTCAAGTAGTGAACACTTGGTAGGTTTGGAGTTTGGGGTTTTTTTCTTTTTTTTTTTTTTTAATCCCAAAACATGAAAGATAAAACCATGATAGGACAAGGGGTAATGGTTTTAAACTGAAAGAGGGTAGATTTGGATTGGACATAAGAAATTTTTTACAGCGAGGGTGGAACAGGTTCCCCAGAGACGTGGTAGATGCCCCAGCCCTGGAAACATTCAAGGTCAGGCTGGATGGGGCTCTGTGCAACCTCATCTAGTTGAAGATGTCCCTGCTCATTGCAGGGTGTTTGGACTAGATGACCTTTAAAGGTCCCTTCCTACCTAAACTATTCTATGAATCTATAATGGCAGACCTTGTAACATCCCATAAATAGCTTAAAGATTCTGAAATCTAAAAACTGATTTGTGCCTTTTCAGGATTTTGTTGGACAGCTTGGGTTATGTGTTCTCCATTTGTCTGCTCTTCTCAGAATCAAAGTGTGATCCTAAAACACATATATAACCAACTGTTTCTAAATTTGAGAAAAAAACTCCTTATTCCCTGACATTGCAAGAGTTGTCATTCCATCCTCATCTCTTCCTCTTAACAAGACTGGATATGCAGCTGCTCTATTCAAATGCTTGCTTTATTCTCCCCAACAATCTCCTCCTTCAATTCACTCTCCCTCATACCCTTTTTCTCTTCATTTTCTTTCCACTTTTTATTCTTTATGCTTCCTTCTTTTCATTGGCAATTTCCACTATAAATCTCAGGTTTCCTCCTGCAGTTTTTTCATTTTTTAACCTATTGCTTCCCTTATCATTCCTTAATAGGTTCTTCTTTGTTCCTTCCGTCTCCATGATGTTCATTGCACTGTCTCTCTCTGTCGTCTCTTACCTTCACCTGGTAGTAGCTGCATTTGAGCCCAGAGAGAACTCTCCTGGGAACAGACTCCTTTTCACTAATGCAAAGTGAGGTAAAATGATTGCTACTAGTTGAGATTCAGCTGAATTCAGCCTCACTGATACTAACTGGAGATGGTAGCCATTTTGAATTAAATAAAACTGCACATTTGAAGGCAAGTACAGAACTTAATGAAAGTTACCAAAACCAATATAAGCTATTTAGGGCTTAAAATTGAGCCCTAAATTTGACTATCAGATTTATATCAGAAGACCAACTTTTAAAATACTAAATTGTTTGATAACAAATTTATACAGATTTAAGCTTAATAAAGAAGTTGACAAGCAATTACTATAAGAATAATATGGAGGTATATTAAATATTTATCTGACCATTTCAGCAAGGCCTGAAAAAGAGGACAAATAATGAAGGAGCAGTACCTTAATATTCTTTTGATCTGACAACATTAAGACTGTTGGAATGATTCACTGTTTTCAACAAAGCTAAGTAACCTGGCAATATGAAAGTATTCTATTTTGGCAATTTGGCAAAACTGCATTTTGACTGCTATGATAGTGATATGTAAAATTAAATTACAAGATCAGTTAGGCATTTTTTAGCTACTTGATTCCATCTTTAAAAAGACAAGGAACCCTCAAGCTGAAATGAAACAAATCTAAACTGAGAAAAATGTTTCTACAATAAAACTAATTTTTTTCAGTAACATTCTACTTCATTTTAACCTTCAAGGTAGTTGGAATATTCACTTTCTGGCAAAAAGACTAGCATGGTTTATTAGTCATAGTGGGCTTAAATTGCTTCATAATGAATTTCATAAAGTAAAAATACACTCAATACAATGTTAATTGAGTTAGCTAGGCTTATTTGGGCCTTTCTTACATTTGTTTCTTTGGAACTGGCCCACATCAAGTAATTCAGATACCAGATTGAATTAAGCTCTTGTGTTCTGATACAGCTGTTGTTATTATCTTTTAACTTCCAGTTACGAAAGAGTTGGCTGGTAGAAACAAAAAATATTTTTCTTCTAGTGGCTAGTTGATCAAAACCTGTCTTTATGTCCTGATTTTCTTTGGTTCTGGAGTGCTTCTCCATTTGTGAATATCGTAATGAGCGCTCTCCTTATCTTAATAATTGATCTAAAAAGTGAAGCTGTCTCCTGGGAAGAACTGACAGCAAGGGTGTGGTCCCTTCCACATGACTCCTCAAATCATCTGAAAAGCAATAACCCAAAAGTAAATAGGGACATAAAGGAGGGGTATAGAATGCCTAGAGCCATCCCTGTGATAGCTGGGATATTTCAACAAATGAGGTATTTTCAGCTGCTGTAAGAAAGCAGTTTTCCTGCCCTTAATGATTCAGAGTAGCACAAACAGGTTAGAGCAAGTGTTGAGAAACGCTTAATTACAGCATTGATTTAAGGCAGGTAGACCATACAGTCCAACATAAACAGACTGTAGAAAGCAGAGACGCAAGTGTTTTAACAACCCATTTTCAACTGCCCTAATTTATCTTTCTCAGCTTTAGTCATTTCTCTTTCACCCATAAAGCTATGCATATTTCATCCTTTGAAAAATTAGCCAGCAATTTTATTAAACACTGATATTTTCACACTTCTGATCTCAACTATGTAATTTCCATACAAGCATTAGTATTTGGTCTTGAATAATTAGTATTGTAAACAATTATCCAGAGTAATTCATGGACCAGTACAAGACAGAACACAAGCACTGGTAAATGGAATTCTGAAAATTTTACCTGACCTCCGTTAATCGTAAAAATATTAACATCTTATGAGAAGAACTCCTGTTAGGCTGTGTATTGTTGTGGAGGTTGGAGATATGTGGATAGTGGGTAGTGAAAGTGAGGTAGTTGGAATCCGGAACCACAGTGTACAGAGTAGATGGAATGTTAAACAGTAAAATTTGCACCTTCCCTTTTTTCTGAGTAGCTTATTTTTTTGGTAGAATTTTCAGTGTAGTAACAACAACTCAGTAATGAAAGTGGCAACTTGGAAATTGGAAACTATTCAAATAGTACAACTTTTCACCTGTGTGCTGATTTTGATTTGTTTTAAATTTTCATACTCGACCTATTTGTGTTTGAGTTTCAGAATATTTTTAGAAATTATATTATGGCAGATGATTATTTAATATTTTCTTTAGCTAAGCAACATGACACAATCTCCTTTGTAATAGCTGTATATTTTATAGCTGGTATGAGCTTATAATTCTTATACTAGAAGTTTGGGGTTTGGAAGGAAGTTTGGAAATACTAGAACTATTTCTTTGTCTAGTGATTGTTGTTCTGAAGAGGCAGCTATTAGATCTGGGTTTATAAATTAAACTGTTAAAATCTCTTATTTAGTTACTTTCAGCTCAGTCTGACAGATATTTATTTTCTCAGAGCTGGTGATTCAGATTGCAGCAATTTTCGCTGGAAAGAGGGAGTGTGCATGTATTTTCTTTTCCTTTCGAGCCCTCTTCCTTTCAGGTTAGGCAGCAGTGAAATGCCATCTATAGATAAGACTTCAAACCCCATGATTCCTTGGGAGAGCATGCGCTGAAAGCTTCCAGTTGTCAAAGTGCTCTTGCCAGAGTGGTTGTCTATTTGTCATATACCAAACCTGAAAGAAGAAAATAAATATACTGTCATTCTGTTGATCTTTAAATACAGAAAATCCGAAGGTAACTGTTCCTTAAAAATTTCTGTGTTGACTGCATGGGTTACTGCATGCAAACAGAGCTGGTATTGCTATGGGGATATAGATTTCCTGTACTGGATTGTAAATTTGTACAAATACTTACACCAACAAATAATCGAGAAGTACTGCATATTAGTCCAACATTAGACACTGGCTGGCCTGTCTTTCAAAGTAATTTATTATCCAGTGTTTTTCCATTCGGACTGGCTTCATTCATTAAAGGTAGGTCTTGACCTTGACAAGAGGGTTGAATTGTGCAGTGATTTTTACCTTTAAGAAGCAATATGAAAATGAATGTGGGTTACAGTCCTTAGGATAAAGTTCAAAAACAGCTAGCTAAGTCAAGGTACAGATTTGAAACAAGTGCTGTGCTAGCCAGTATAGATAACCTGGTAACTAACTGATTTAAATATACTTTATTGATGACAGAATTTTAACGTTTCAGCTGCTATGTTTTTATCTCTAAATATATTTTTATACTGATAGCTCAGAACGAGGAGAGGGATACATATAATCTTTTTCTCTCTCTGATGTGGAATCATCAGTAATTTTATTTAGCCTTAGGAGTAATAGTGATTTTGATAGAAATGAAGCTAATGGAAAGCTACACAGAGCTTGGTGTATTATGGCTTACTGCAGCATTGCATTAAAATGTCTCGCAAGGTTTTCTGCATCCCCAGCAACAGCAGCAGAGCTGCCTGTTACAGATGCAATAGTTTATTCTTCTTAGGAACTTCCCTTAATGTTGTCTCACTGCATATTCTGTCCATGAACCCTTGCTGCTCAGTTTACATATTGGGCAGGTAAATAAGAGGGAGCATGAGCAGTAACTAAATTGATAGCAGAAACCTGTCCTGACATTCATGTTAACTAAAAAGTGTATGTATAGCTCAGAAGAGATTTAAGAGAAAGAAAAAAAGAAACAAAAAATGTTAAAGATACACATGGACCATCTGAAAACTGTTGATGTCAGAAAGGAGAAGGTCGTTGATTTCACTCTTTGCCACCTTTCTTAAACAGTTAATTGATTTGGCTGTACTTTGTTACATTAAAACAACAATCCTAAAAAAAAGGCAATCATAGGAATGTACATGTCATATGATTAACTCAACAGAAATGCAATTAGGTATTCAGCGATGACCATCTTTGACATAGTTACTCAAAGTAAGTGATTTTTGGCTCATTTAAAACAGTTCTGAGATTTAGAATGATCTCTTCAATTGACTAAAAGTCTGCAAAATGTGGAGGTTCTTGTTCTAGTGTCATACAATCACTGTTCATTGATGTCTGTTTATGCATTAGTACTATTGTGTTTCAAAACAATAATCAAATTACATGATCTGTCCTATTTCATAGGAGGCACCTTTTCTAGCAGATATAATTCAACCATTCTACATACATTTAAAGTTTAAACTTGTGTATGGATTTAGCAAATAATTTGCATCACTAGTCTGTCTTGTGCATATAAAGATGGCTTTTAAAAAGTGGCATGTCTATATCTTAAGTATTTTGATTCCCCCATTTTTATTTTTCATTGTGAAAGCATCAGAAACATCATAGCCTAATAATACCTCCCACATCTGCTCATTTTGACATTTTTTTCAAGTGAACAAATTACTGATTATTTCCTGTATATAGAAATACAGCGAGTAGAAATACCTTTAAGCAGAGGACTGCTTTGATGTAATATAGTGTTTTACACAGAAAGATCCTAAGGTCACTGAAGGCAAATATAGGACCCATCGGTGGCTTCGTACACGAAGTGCTTGTCGTCCCCCCCCCTGCCCTCCCCCCCCGTCATTGCGATCGCTTCTCGTGCCCTAAGCAAACAGCGAGCTGTGCGGCAGCAAAAGGCCAGAAAACGATTGTGCTGCTAAGAACCGCTCCCGTATCAGTGCGAGATTTCGTGTGTGCTTTCTCTCTGATAAATTTAAATAATTAACAAACAAGCTTTCAATTAAGGTAAATCGGTACCCGGCTCCTTTAAAGGTCCCCTAATAGAAAAGTGGGTGGAGAAGAGTGAAGACTGGTGTCTTTTTAACCTTGCTGAAGGACGCAGCAGTATTTATTGACGTATGCAAATAACTAGGGGGAGGAGGTGGAGGAGGAGGAGGGTGCTTGGAAAAACAGGAACCAGAATCAGTTTCTCATTGCAGGGTGAGAGCTCTGAGTTCCGGTGTAAGAGAAAAGAGACGTGGCGAAATTGCTGTATATCTCTGCCCTATAAGCACATCTCTCATTTAGACTGAAGGGAAACAAGGCATCAAAAAGGGTGAAGCATCTTAAAAAATATTTTAAAGGCAGTCTAGCACGATCAAAGGTTATATATTCCTAAATGGGGGAGGGGGAAGATTACGGGTTTGCCTTGCAATTTGCTGTAGCATAGCACTAGCAATAGGACGAGATTTTTGACCGGCAAATGATTAAAACAGCCTGGTTTGTGGTATGAATGACAATGTAAATAATCTGTCTTTGTGGTTTTTTCCCCTACTGTTTCAGCTGCGCAAACCATGCAGGATGATTTACTGATGGACAAAAGCAAAGCCCAGCCCCAGCAGCAGCGGCAGCAGCAGCAGCAGCAAGATCCAAACTCAGCAGAAGCCCCCTCTACGCCTATCTCGTCGGAGACACCCAAACCAGAAGACAACAGTTCAGTGACTAGTATCGGCACATCGGCTCCTTCCCAAAATAGCAAGGAGAAGATGCAGATGGAGTCTCCCATTTTGCCTGGCTTGAGCTTTCACCAGCCTCAACAAGAACCTGCAGCCGGCACCTCCTTGTCTCCCTCCTTCGGCAGCACCTGGTCTACAGGGACCACAAACACGGTGGATGATAGCTTTTTCCAAGGGATTACTCCAGTCAATGGGACAATGCTTTTCCAGAATTTTCCACACCATGTCAACCCTGTATTTGGTGGCACCTTCTCGCCTCAAATTGGCCTAGCTCAGACTCAACACCACCAACATCAGCAGCAGCAGCAGCAAGCTCAGCAGCAGCAGCAGCGGAGGTCACCTGTAAGCCCTAATCAGGCACCTTTTGCCCAGAGAAATGCTGCTTACAGCCATCAGCCCATCATGACCAGCAAACCGTCTTCCTCCTCTGCCTCCTCTTCTTCCTCCTCCAGCTGGAATAACCATCAAAACGCGGCTTGGAGTACACCTTCCAACCCTTGGGGTGGGCTGCAGGCTGGTAGGGACCCTCGAAGGGCAGTTGGAGTGGGGGTCGGTGTGGGAGTGGGGGTCGGCGTACCCTCCCCCCTCAATCCCATTTCACCCCTTAAAAAACCATTCTCCAGCAATGTCATTGCCCCTCCGAAGTTCCCACGGGCTGCACCCTTAACCCCCAAATCCTGGATGGAAGACAACGCGTTCAGGACGGACAATGGCAACAATCTGTTGCCTTTTCAGGTAAATGACTATGTGCACCTTCTACATGGTGACAGCTAGCACAAAGTTGTATTTTTTGCAGGAGTGTATTTCATGTTACTGTTCTGAGAGGCATCTCCGTAACTCATATTTGCATCGAATAGTCACACTGTATGAAAGAAGTGGGGTTGGTCCTAGGGAGTGCATACACAAAGATTCCAAATTCTGGCTTAAGGTTTTTAGCCTTATTTTTCTTGTAACTTATCCTTAAATGTGACAGGGCTTTGGGGTTTTTTTGTTGGTTTGGTTTTTTTGGTTGTTTTTTTGGGGGGGGAGGAGGGGGTGTTTTGTTTTTGTTTAGCATCCAAAAGGTAGTAGCCTTCCTTCATGAAAAACAGGTTTGGCAGACTATGTTCTCTTGGTGCTGTGTGTTATAATTTTTTTCATATTCCCCCATATGTGAGAAACAGGAGATGTTAAAATTGCTGGCTTCAGTTTTCTAACTGGCCTGTTAATTTTAGCCAGAGATGCTTCTTGAACTAAATCCAGTTAATTATTTTATCACCACTGAAATAACTAATTGTCCTTATGTTGTGGTGGGATTTAACGGGGAGTCTGTTGGCATAAGGTATACATATGAAAAGCTATATACATCTGATATGTACACCCTGCTGTTACAGTCACAGTGGACGTTTTGAATACATCTGGAAGCAGTGTGGGTGTGTATGGAAAGAGTGGCGTTTCTGTCCTTTCCAGTAAGGAAATACCTAATACAATTGACATGATTTAGAAATGGCAGGGAGGTATTGTATAAAATAAGCCATTTTATGCTGTTCAAAATATTTGCAGAGAAAAGAGACAATAGGACACGACCTTCAGAGCCATATTGCAATGGAGTCTATTTACTAGCTACATAGCTCTGAAATATTTAAAGCTGCAGTGCCCTTCACTTTTTTTTTAATCTATGACGACAAAGCAGATCAATTGTAGCTGAAACTGGGCCACATAGAAGATTTGCAATTTTAATGCAGAATGAAACCTGTCATGGTGTGAAATCCATTTTAAGTTGAAAAAAGCAGAGCATGCACTTGCAGTTATATCTATACAAGGCCAAGTGAATCTCAAATTTCTTCTAGGTTAGCTTTTTTAGGTTCAGACAAATAAAAAATTTCTGTTTCGAAATACAGTGAAATTCATATGTGCTTTCTCTTTAGGTAATTGCTTTCTCAACAAAGTATGAACTCTCAAACATTTTTAACTTACCAGTGTGGCAAGAATAGCATCTAGATTGACACTTAGTATTAGAAACAAAGTTAAAAAAAAAAAAAAATCCAACAACACCCCCCCCTTACTTTAAGAGATTGCTGAAGTAAAATATATGCATTCCTGTGCACTTTACAGTCCCATTCAAAGAGGGCACCTTATAGTGAGCCCTGAAATTTCATTTTGCTGCTTCATTCTGTTTAAAGGGAGAGTTGCTAATTTTTTATTGGCTACCCTAAATGAAAGTGGAGTGGCTTCTGGTGGACTGCTGGTCGATGTCTCTGAAGCACTGAAGTCTGGAGAAAGAGTATACTTTAGACACAATATGCCTAGTGAAACTACTATGTTGCACAGAGCACAGCAACACAAAAACTAATGAATATAGCTCCCAATCATTTTTTAGGAGTGTGAAATGTGTTTCAATTTACAATTATTCTTTTATTTAAATTGTCTACATCTAAGACATTACAAATTCTGATAAATTGGAATTAGTAGGGAAAACCAAAAGTAAATGGTCTTTTTTCTGTGGATTGGTTGGTGAGATACATCTTTAATGAATACACAGCTTTATTATTGTGACTGTAAAGTGTCACAAATTAAACTAGCAGATATTTACTCATCACTAGGAAAAAAAAAGTAGAGAAATGGTTTTAAAGAAAAGTTCCTTTGACGTTAAAATTAAGGTTTTGAAAAGCTAAGGTATTAGCCAATATGTCAATTTGGAAACTTGTTTTCTTCTCTGTGAATTTAACCTGATATTTTCCTGTTCATCTGAAAGCAAATACTTAGAGTACTCTCAGCACCACCTGGAATAACAGTCTGATTTCAGAGACACAGAAAACTCGTATTTTTTTTCCTGTTAGGCTCTTTTTAATACAAGCTGCTGAATTTTGCATGTAAGATTGTAATCTGGGTTAATGTTGATTGCTCCTATACTTAACAAATTGCCAAAGAAGTCTCAAAATCATACTATTGGTAGGAGGCAACTGTTTAGTTACATTGATAAAAATGAAATTCAGATTCATATAAGAATTTAATATTTGCTGCCTGCATTCCTGTTGCCTTTTTTTCTTCTACTTCTTTTTGTTCCCCCACCCCACCCCCCCAATATTGGGCAATATATTGACACAGTTGACACAGTAAGTTCTGCTTGTCAGCACTATCAAGTAATTCTGGCAAGTTTATCCATGTACATCTGCCACTCTTCATAACTAAGCATTTTTGATCTGCTTCAGAAATACCTTTCAGTAAACTTGCTAGCAACACGTTAGCGCACATTAGCAAGTTCTTTCTGCTAACCTGTTCTTTTCCCTTACGTTGAGGTTATAAGACTTTTTAAAATTTGTGGTTTATATTTAATTAATTCCTTAATGAGTTGTAAAGCTCAAGATGTTCTAATTAAAAGAAAAATATTATGTTCACCAGTTGAATTAACATCAGTGATACGTATTTTTTAATTCAGGTCTTTGCAGTGATCAAAAATTTTAAGCAGAAAACTTCTATAATCAAGGTTTGTGTTCTGAGTCTGTAATATTTGAAGACAGCTGATACTCAGCTACTGATATATCTAGTTCTAGGAAAAAAAATTGAATTTGCAAATGGTTCTCTTAAGAACATGTATATAAAGCAATAGGCTATATGTCTTCATCCCCAAATTTGAGTAATACATTAGTGCAGCTTGTATGTCAAAACCAATCAGTGTCTGTCCCAAGGAGTTGTGCTGCAGAACTTACCAGAACATTTAAAATATCAGTTGGTAGGAATTCTATTGGCATCTGCCTTGTGATTGGTGTTGAAAGGCAACTGAAAATGCTTTGAAGGAGACTGTTTTCATATACTTGCTGAGGAAAATTGATTGCACTCTATAAAAAAAAAATTTGAAGATACAAAGCTGATAGAATAGAAAAGAAGCGATAGGTCGGGAATGAAATGTAATGGCAAATAAGAGTTCGAGATAGGATCACAGGAATAGATGTGGAACAATGCCAGATATGAAATATAGAAATGTGGCCAGTTTGTTCTTCTGAGTATTCTTCAGCTTCTAAGTGGTTCAGGTGAAGGTCTTCTGGTGTGATTGTCATGACAAGCAATAGTGTTGTGCCATTATGCTAGGTGATCCTCATTTCTGGCATTTGAGGCTGACATTAACTGATTGTCCCTGGGACCTGGGCAACGGTTCAGTTCCTTTTACAGCAGAGTGGTGGGGCTTGAAGAGAGCTATTGTCATCTCTGCTCTGAGCTGCTCCCAGAATTCTCTTTTCCTTCACTTCTCTCAGGTAAATAGTGCATTTCTTTTGGCTTTTGGCCATACGAAGATACTGGGACGTAGCTTGTGGGGTTAGGAGGATTGATAGTGCCTGCAATAGACCCTTGGAAGCACAGATAACAAATTCTCTTTACGGTGGAGAAGACAGAGAAGGAATTAAATATTTGGAGACCAGTATGCTAATTAAGGAAGTCTACCCTGTGGATTTTTAATAATAACAACACTATAACAATTTCGCAGAAAGTGTTCCAAGTTCTGCTGCTTTCTGAGTAATGTTCTTCAGAAACAATAAAAAATGCACAACTGCAAATTTTAGATTTAAAAAATGTATAGCAATTTGGTGCTCTGAAGGTTCTGACATACATCAAGTCATTCTTGGCAGCTTTACTTATAAATACTTGTCTGTCAGAAATAAATAAGGTGGTATTTATTGTGGATAAAGATAGTTCTAACATGCTATCTTCTTTGCAGAGAGACTGAGAAAAGTTTTTTGGGGGAGGTGTTTTTGGTGTTTGGTTTTTTCCTTATTGATTTCAATAGGAATTAGTCTAGACCCAGATAAAATTATAAGCTAAATTTAGAAATTATATACAATTTCAATATTTCATACTTAAACAAAATGCAAATCCAAACATGCAGCAAGTTTGTGTATAAATATAAGTATATATTCATAAATATGTTTGTATGTATATGCATTTATACATTTAGATATAGATACACTAATTAGTAATACATTAGCAGGCACAAGTACTTTGTGTTGTACTAAACACACCATAGCTGTTTGTTGAGTGAAGTGAAAGGCAAGGGAATGGCTACTGTATAATGTTTATAATCCCAATGTGACTTCTGGTTGATGATTAATAGACAGCTCCTTAAGGAGCTGCTTTCTTTAAACACTTGAAGTTCTTCAGGCCTGTGATATTAGCCCATACTTTGCTTTCTCCATGTCAATATAGATTGATACTCAAAATAAATTACGTGCGTACACAGACATACATATGAATATACGCGCTTATGCAGTAAACTAGCGCATTTTTTGTCTCCAAGTCCTAGGGAAAAAAAAATATTAAATACGCTATTAACTTCAATTTTATAATGTTTGTGCTAACTTCTTCACAGGCAATGAATTGGCTGTAGCTTATTTGTCATAGTTCTGTTTATTACCACTACAGTAACCTGAAATGCATATTAGGATATCTCATATATGTGCGTGTGTGTATTAAAAATAATGACTGAATTAGAATGAGTTCAAGTATTGGAACATTCATGAGTGTGAAAAAGTTTTATATTTATCAGTAAAGGAGTTTTACCGGCTAATACATTCTGGTGACTGTCATTTTAAAGCCTCTGTTTAAATCTAGATTATTTTTTTTTTCCCCTAGCCAGAGTAGTTGTATGCAATAAGTCTATTTGAAGATGAATTTTTAAAACACTGTATTTCTTTAGTCTAAATTTGACATTCTGGGCTGGTATCTTGAAAACTATTTCTTAATGTGTAGTCTAATCTTAATTT